TTTCGTGGGACACCTGTGCATTGTACAAAGAACATTTTATAGCTTATTTGTAGATGTATGTCTGTTATTTAGTGAAAATAATGAAACGGCAAAACCAATACTAATAGGGCCCACATTTTGTGGTAGATCACATAAACCCTTAAAGGTGGTCAAATAGCCTTCTACGGTTCTGCTCCAGACTGCTCCTTGATGTTCTGAAGATTCGTCAATATCAGCAGTTTAGAAGCTCCCTAAATCCTCCCACAGAAACTAACTACACAGTAATAACGCTCCCATATATTCCATAACAAGTTTTTACCATGAAATAAACATTTTTCAACCCCCACCATGTATCATTTAGTTAGACTTAAGGTTTAACAAAAAACATGATCTCAGTCTCTCTAAACTATGTGGAAAATGTTTTCAAGGAGTAGGCTCAGGTATCCGACATCCCTGATTTAAAGGAGATTTGGTGAGCAACCGAAGAACAATGATGAACAGACTATTAAGCTTGCAACAATAACAGGAAAGCCAATAAATCTTAATTTTGAAAAGCATTCAGAAAAAAAGATGATCAAAACAGAGACTCTCTTTAATCTAAAAAGAAAGCATGGTCTACCACAAGCTGTAATTGACTCCATAGCTTTAAGTTGTAGAAGTGACTTGGGTAGATCAGCTCTCCAATCAAACTCTTGTGAAAAGATTATTTCAATGTCAACTTCTCTTGATTTATTTCACAAAACCATGAAAATTAATTTCGAAGAAACTGTTAAGACTTGGAATTAAGAATTCAAAAAAGTTAGTTACAAAAGATTTAACATATGTCCCTGATCCAACAGCTCTAATTCTTCATCTTTGTGATCTTAGAGACTTGAATGTTATGAAAGCTATTGTGAGAATAAGTATATATGGGGGACAGGGATCACTAAAGATTATTATGAGTCTGTTTGATCCAGATGATCTTGGTGCCCAAAGATGAATTATATTCTGGGGTAAATAAAGTGATTGTTCTTGGATTGGTCAAAGGAGTTTCAGTAAATCATCACAACATACTCTTTAATAAAACTGATCTGAACAGTTTGAAATGTTACCTAGCCTGCGATTTGAAATTACTCAGTATCATTCTTGCTTTGCCTGCTCATGGAGGAATGCGCAGCTGTTTGTACTGTGGGGGGAAACTTAATGAGAGGAGAATTAATAACATTTGGTAGTCTTCAAGAGAATTATTGTTCTTATATAGATACAGGAGCGAAGAAAAGAACATGAAGGATCACAAGAATGTTTTCAATCCTGTTCTGCTTCAAACATGGTTCACCGAGAATGGGATATTTGGAATGGATAAAATGGGGGAGGTTTAGACACGAGTTCCAAGCTTTTGAAGAAATTGAATGAATTAAATAAATATATAGAACATGATTTTCAAGAATTTAAACCTATCGTTCTTGTACTGAAAAGGTTGTCAGCAGGTAACGTTTATTAACTATTTTATAAATTTGTATAAACATGCTTTATAAGGAATTGAGCCTTTGCCACAAACTGAAATTTTCTAATTCCTATACTTTTGCATACTGATTATGTAAACCTTTTATATTTCAAACTAATATTATTTAATCAAACAGAATTTGTAGTATATCTAATTCTCAATTCATTTGTATGCACATTTCAATGGACTCAAAGCTATCTAGAATTCAAATAATGAAACACAAGCGAAAAATATAAGCTTAACTTTATATGTTTAAATTAAGAAATTTAAAAAAAACTCATTCAAAGATTAAAAATGCAAGATAGAAAATATTATTTAAATTGAAAATTATTCGGTTGTTGAGGATTGATTCGGAATGAACCTCTCTCCAACCTATTCAGCTAGCATTTGCAAATCTTATAGTAACAATTCAGGATATTCTCTAAAGGAGTTGAGTCTTTGACACAAACTCTGATTTTCTAATTCCTATATCTCTGCAACACAGTGTCGTAGACCTTAGATATTTCAAACTATGAATTCTGTTGCATCAAATTTTGTTAGTTTGAAATATCAAAAGTCTACAACATCAGGTTCCATAGATATAAGGATTAGAAAATTTGAGTTTGTGGCAAAGACTCAATTCCTTTAACATTGATAACCAAAGCAAAATCAAGGTTGTGAAGGAATATGTGAAGGAAAAGATTAAGTTGAATCTCTCGTTTGCATTGGATGGAAAGGACACATTTAGAAGAGTTCCTAAACAAGATTTAGAAACCTCTTGGACTTTTAGCAGAACAATCATCAGAGTGTTCACAAGAATATAAAGAAAACCATATCTTGGTTTTGTGTTTCAGAAACCCACACGTCTCATGGCGCCAAACTGCACAAACCAGTTGTAACTTATTCCAGTATGCGAGTCTGATACCATTGATAGTTTAACATCAAGATGTTATTTTGTTTTGATAAATTTGTCTAAAGAAATACAATTGTATTTCTCTATATTTACGTATCTTTTGTGGATGCTTGGTCAATTTAAGTGAATTTTAAGGTGAAATAATATTTTAACTTTTTTTTCGGAATGGGCTACGGCTAAAAATTCACTAAAGTTGTCTTACATTCAATAGAAATTATATGCAGAAGAAAAAAATGAAGTACCTTGTATTTTGACTAAAAAACCTACATCTGATCAGTGAGGAATATCAAGCAGTTGCAGCCTTTAAAAGTTCTGAAATGAAAATTTTACCCTCTAATCATAAAATCTATTTGACACCCTTGGCATACTACTTGTATCTATAACCTAAATTAAATGTTTTATTTAAAGGGGATGGTGGAGATAGCACATTTGATGTAGGGGGGGTGGGGCCTCTAATGACATCTTATGACCTCTACCAATAGAAAATATTTTCAATTATGGCTTTTATGCATATCAAACGAAAGCTAAGAACCCAGGGAATACAATAGCAGCAACAAATCCAGTGTTTGACCTTCTAATGACCTCTTGCGACCTCTAATGACCTAAATGACCTCCAAAAATGAAAATGTTTTAACTAACGCTTTATTCATATCAAACGAAAATTAGGAACCCCAGGAATACAGATTCATTAGCAGCAAAAAATCCAGTGTTTGACCTTCTAATGATCTCTAATGACCTCTAATGACCTCTAATGACCTCCACAAATAGAAAATATTTGAACTATGGCTTTATGCATATCAAACAAAAGCTAGGAACCCCAGGGAATACAGTAGCAGCAACATCCAGTGTTTGACCTTCTAATGATCTCTAATGACCTCTAATGACCTCTAATGACCTCCACAAATAGAAAATATTTGAACTATGGCTTTAATGCATATCAAACGAAAGCTAGGAACCCAGGGAATACAGTAGCAGCAACAAATCCAGTGTTTGACCTTCTAATGACCTCTAATGACCTAAATGACCTCCAAAAATGGGTAACACGTTTTACACAAAAACAATTTTGTATCAATAAAAATGTGATTAAGAACCCCCAAATAAAGTAAATGCTTTAATTTGCAACATTAAAATAAATATATCAAATTTTGTCACAATAATTAAAACACGAGTTACACATGTTTCAAATACATGTTATAGTGATTAAGGCAATCCAAATAGATTAATGATGACACCACTACTGTATTGTCTAGGTTACTAGCTTTTGATTGATATATATAAATCCTTATTTAGAACATTTTCAATTTGGAGTTCATTACAGGTCGTTAGAGGTCATTAGAAAGTCAAACATTGGATTTGTTGCTGCGACTCGATTCTTTGGGGGTTACTAATATTTGTTTGACATGCCTAAAGCGATAATTAAATATTTTCATGGAGGTTATTATAGGTCGTTGTAGGTTATTAGAAGTTCAAACAATAGATTTGTTGCTCCACTGTGTTCTCTAGTTCCTAGCTTTCGTTTGAAATACATACTATGGTTAAAACATTTTCAATTTGGAGGTCATTTAAGGTTGTTAGAAAGTCAAACACTGGATGCGTTGCTGCTACTGTATTCCCTGGGTCCTAGCTTTCTTTTGATATGCTTAAAGCCATAGTTAAAACATTTTTATTTTTGGAGGTCATTTTAGGTCATTAGATGATAAAACACTGGATTCATTGCTGCTACGGTGTTTCCTGGGTTCCAATCTTTCGTTTGATATGCATAAAGCCATAGTTAATGCATTTTTATTTTGGAGGTCATATTAGGTCGTTAGTTGTCATTAGAAGGTCAAACACTGGATTTGTTGATGCTACTGTATTCATGGGCTTCCTAGCTTTTAATTGACATGCACAAAGCCATAGTTAAAACATTTTCATTTTTTGAGGTCATTTAGGTCACTAGAGGTCGTAAGAGGTCATTAGAAGGTCAAACACTGGATTCGTTGATGCTACTGTATTCCCTGGGGTTCCTAGCTTTTAATTGACATGCACAAAGCCATAGTTAAAACATTTTCATTTTTGGAGGTCATTTAGGTAATTAGAGGTCGTAAGAGGTCATAAGAAGGTCAAGCACTGGATTTGTTGCTGCTACTGTATTCCCTGGATTCCTAGCTTTTGTTTGATATGCATAAAGCCATAGTTGAAACATTTTCATTTTAGGAGGTCATTTAGGTCATTAGAGGTCGTGGTCGTATGAGGTCATAAGAAGGTCAAGCACTTGGTTTGTTGCTGCTACTGTATTCCCTGGATTCCTAGCATATGCGTAAAGCCATAGTTAAATCATTTTCATTTTTGGAGGTCATTAGAGGTCATTAAAACTCAATTTTGAAAAAATTGGAAGATTTGAACCAAAAATGAAGGCAGCCCCCCCACCCCCCTCCTACATCAAATGTGCCATCTCCACCATCCCCTTTAACTAAAGTCAAGAATGATAAAAAATTCCACAATATGTTCAGGCCAGAGAGACACCACAATATTACAATGTGCCCAACCCAACGTCTTCTTGTTATTTCTTATTTCTCTATTCAAATTCTTAAGAAAAAAACTTAACAATTTTGCAGGGCCGCCCAAGGGGGTGGGGCAGCTGTCTTACTTAATCAAATAAATAACTAAATACAAAATTTTATTTATTATGAACAATAGAGATGAATAAATCACATTTTTAAGCCTGTAATTCATGAATTCATGTAATACATACACTTGAATAAATCTACCATTCACCAATTTTTACTATTACCTTGTGTACCTTCTTTAGTGTACAGTTAACATACATGTACACTACAGCACACATCGTACATTAAATTTACATAGAGCTAACATAATAAATCTTACAGTACGTAAGTCAGAACAATGATAATATTGAAAATTTAAAGAAATACATATTGTTGATGTTTAAATTTACAGCATGTTCTTAATTTTGACCATGTGGGAGATGTTCCTGAAGATTTGGTTTGGCAAGTTTGGAACATTTTCAACACACGATTCTCTCCCGCGGCATGCTGCGCATTGCACTTAACCGCGTTCAGCTAATTTAACTAACCAACCATTCACCATTTCAACGTAATGTTCTAGTGTTTACTTTAACCAGGGTTCGAAGAACGCTAAGATTGTTTTAAATATTTATCATATATTTTTGTGTATGACAGGGGGTAGTGAAGGTTTAAAGTGTCGAGTCAATTTAATGAACAATCATATTTTGAATTTTGAAAAGTGATGTATTTCTAAGAGAGCACGAGAACTGGTTTCTGTACACAGGACTTTCAGCTTCATCATTACCCAGATTAGTCTGCAGTGCTGTAACCCAACCCTGAGTAAGGATAGCTGTATGGTTCAGTCCAGTGCTGTAGACAAACCATGAGTGGGAAAGACTAGTCCAGAGCTGGAGAACAAACTTTAAGAAAAGTTCAGTGGTGGGGTGTAAACTCAGGGATTAGTTTAAGAGATTCAATGTTCTTTGTCCATATTTTCTTGTAAAAAATGTGAAGCTGCTTTAAGCATGATGTTTCTTAAGATGCTCCATGCTGCTTAAGATTAAGTGCATGCTGTATGTGTGGCTTCATGATTCTTGCATGACAGAGTTCAGTTTAAAGATATCCTCTATCCAGCGCGTTGTAGAATGCTACCAGATCATTGTGTGAATTGATTCTCCAGAACGGAAAATTCATATTTTTAGCTGCTCCCTCCTCATCCTTTCCATCCCCTAAAATATTCATTTTTATTATTTTTTTAACTACAATATTTGCTTGGGAAATTGTAAAAATAATGTTTTTGAGAATAACGACATTTACAGACGCCTTAGTTTACTTTCAATTTTCCAGTGGAGAATAAGGTTTCAAATTAGACTCTATAGTAAATATTCAAGTTATTCAAGCTATTCTGATCAAGAATGATTGAGCACTCATTGTTTTTCAAACTATAAATTTTTTTTAAATATGGGTTCTCTCTAAAACTGACTTGCGGATTTTAAGGAGAAAAACTGCAAGGAGGAAAACTATAATTAAACATTGATCAGATAAAGGTAATTAAATGTACTGTCGTGAATCAGGCATGCTCCTCTCTAAATGGAGGGTCTCTTGAAATTACTCCAACAGTCCTTTAATTATTTTTAATTGTGTGGACCACATGAATGGATTTAATTTCTACCTACGACCACATGAATGGATTTAAATTCTACCTACGAACACATGAATGGAATTAAATCCTACCTAAGACCACATGAATGGATTTAAATTCTACCTATGACCACATGAATGGATTTAAATCCTACCTACGACCACATGAATGGATTTAAATTCTACCTACAAATGGATTTAAATTCTACCTATGACCACATGAATGGATTTAAATTCTACCTACGACCACATGAATGGATTTAAATCCTACCTACGACCACATGAAGGGATTTAAATTCTACCTACAGAGCGTCCCATATCATATTAGATTATCTCCAATCTTTAACACCAAAATAAACCCTTAATACTCGAAAAACTTATACTTTTCCGCAAGAAAATGCTTATATAAGCCTTATGTTATTTTTCAAAACGATTCATTCTAATGAAATTTTCTAATTAGTCCCGAAAATCGTAATTTAGACCCGTTCTCGGTCTAATATGATGCGGGACACCCTGTATGACCACATGAATGGATTTAAATCCTACCTACGACCACGTGAATGGATTTAAATTCTACCTACCGACCACATGAATGGATTTAAATTCTACCTACGACCACATGAATGGATTTAAATCCTACCTACGCCCACATGAATGGATTTAATCCTACCTACGACCACATAGGTAGATTTCCTTCCAAATTTTGACATAATTCTTTCAAAGCAAGCTTCCTTTCCGATCTTGGTCGCAGAGTAAACGTTTTCAACAGGAAACAGAGATCCTAGTCCGAACAGCAGAATTTTTGTCAGAGCAGCGACTAGCTGAAATAATGTTATATTAAGGAACAGGAGCAATCAAGATTTTGCTGAAACTATAGACTAAAGCAGATTGATCAAGCCTTTGACGAGAAAATTAATATTTGATCAGGGCAGTGACTAGAGTATTAAGATCTGATCAGGGCAGTGACTAGAGTATTAAGATCTGATCAGGGCAGTGACTAGAGTATTAAGATCTGATCAGGGCAGTGACTAGAGTATTAAGATCTGATCAGGGCAGTGACTAGAGTATTAAGATCTGATCAGGGCAGTGACTAGAGTGTTAAGGATCAGGGCAGTGACTAGAGTGTTAAGGATCAGGGCAGTAACTAAAGAGTGGTAAGATTTGATCAGAGCTGAAAATCTAAATGTCAGATATCCAAAACTATAACTAAATCAGTAAGATTTGATCAGAGCGGTCACTAAAGAAGCTGAAAAATTTGATCAGAGCAGTCACTAAAGCAGATAAATTTGATTAGAGCAGAGACTAAAGCAGAATATTTGATTAGAACAGTGACTAAAGCAGATTATTTGATTAGAGCAGTCCCTAAAACAGTTTAATTTGATTAGAGCAGAGACTAAAGCAGTAAGATTTGATCAGAGCAGAAAGTAAAGCAGTAAGATTTTATCAGAGTGGTCACTAAAGTAGTAAGAGAGGATGAAAGGAGAAGGTATATGAAGAGTTAGGAGAGCATGAAAGGAGATGGTATAAGAAGGGTTAGGAGAGGATGAAAGGAAAAGGTATATGAAGGGTTAGGAGAGGATGAAAGGAGAAGGTATGGGAAGGGTTAGGAGAGGATGAAAGGAGATAGTATATGAAGGGTTAGGAGAGGATGAAAGGAGAAGGTATGGGAAGGGTTAGGAGAGGATGAAAGGAGATAGTATAAGAAGGGTTAGAAGAGGATGAAAGGAGAAGGTATATGAAGGGTTAGGAAGAGGATGAAAGGAGAAGGTATATGAAGGGTTAGGAGAGGATGAAAGTAGATGGTATATGAAGGGTTAGGAGAGCATGGGAAGAGAAGGTATATGAAGGGTAAGGAGAGTATGAAAGGAGAAGGTATATGAAGGGTTAGAAGAGCATGAAAGGAGAAGGTATATGAAGGGTTAGGAGAGGATGGAAGGAGAAGGTATAGGAAGGGTTGGGAGAGAATGGAAGGAGAAGGTATATGAATGGTTAGGAGAATATGACGGAGAAGGTATAAGTTTAGCAAAGAATGCTTGAGTCGATCAAGGGAAAAATAAAGTAAAATGTAGCAATGTAAGTTTAATTAAAACAATGAACAGTATATTTTAAAAAGTAGGCTTAAGAAAACAAAGAAATCAAAGTTAGACCCAAATCGGTAAAGTTGAGCAAGATAAGTAATTTCAAGCAATAAAAACAGCAAAGCTGAGCATAATAAATACAAAGTGCAGTTAAGCAATTTAAGTTCAAGTGGATGGTAAGCATAATTTCAAGTGACCCTCCATGCGAAAATTAGAATGTCCGATTTGCGACGGTTCCCTTGAAACCAGTGCTTAGGATCCGGATCCGTTGGATCCGCAAGATTTTGACTTCCTGGATCCAGATCCGGATCCAATGGGCAAAATATCAACCAAAAACTGCAACAAAAAAAATTTACATTCAAACCCAAAATTTTAACTATTAAAAAAGAGAGATTATAAAAATTTCCTGATTTGATCAAGTTTTAAAAAAAAACTGTAAATTTTTTAGAAATAACCCGGATCCGGATTTGGATCCGAATCCATTTTTTCCAGTGCGGAGAATGGATCCAAAGCACTGCTTGAAACCTTTATCTGCTCAAAAATGTGGAAGAAACCGTCAACACGAAAAGTGTTTTTTTTCTGTGAGTTTCTTCATTACTTCTACTTATAAACATCAAGTATGAATTAGTTCTCAATGTTTATTTTCATTTTCGCAGAGAAACAGCAATTAAAAATAAACCTTTGTCCGAATTTAATGAATTTAAGCCGCGTCTCAAATCATCCAAAAACCGGTTTCAATTGAGCGTCGGCTTAAATCTTGAAAAACTTAATACAATTTTAAGTGGAACCAACCATATTTTAGCCGCGGTTTAAATCTAAGCCGCCGCTCAAATTATTTAAATTCGGCCTCTTGAGAACTAATTCATACTTGATCAGACAAAACTCTCTCAAGGGTACCGTTGTAAATCTGGCATTTCCATCTTTCCATGGAGGGAAAACTTGAAATTACGCTCAAGTCCCTACTCCCTATATGTTGAGGAAAGTGAAGGATTGTACCTGTGTTTGTGTGACTATAATATTAACACAGTCAGGACGGGATTGAATCACGTTTAATGATTTGACCGCCAGGTTCAACCATTGATCTGTGTTGTTCTCAATATCAGATCTTAAACTCAGCCATTCCTCTCTTTTTCCAGCTCCAAGCAAACCACCAACATTTCCTCCTAGACAGAAAATATAGTTATTCAAGTATCTATAATAATAACAAATAATAAATAATCACAGCGATCCAGACCGTTATGAAAAGTTGCATTAGTTTTTAAAACTGGGTCGACTTTGAAGTGTCGCAACGCCTTGGTTTTTGATTTTGTCTCACTAGATCACTTCCATATTTTGTATCCACTGACATCATTTTGAATAATAATGCACTTGGTGCTAGCTTCAGTAAAAAAGTAATAATTGGCAAATCCTGATAGACTTTTGTGTGAGAACTTGCAAACTTTGGATCCTGCAGTGGAAATCAATGCTTACAAATATCTTAATCTTAATGAAACTAAAATGAAACTAAAATGAAACCAAAATGAAACTAAAATGAAACTAAAATGAAACTTAAATGAAACTTAAATGAAGCTTAAATGAAACTAAAATGAAACCAAAATGAAACTAAAATGAAACTAAAATGAAACTAAAATGAAACTAAAATGAAACCAAAATGAAACCAAAATGAAACCAAAATGAAACTAAAATTAAACTAAAATGAAACTAAAATGAAACTAAAATAAAACTAAAATGAAACCAAAATGAAATTAAATTGAAACTAAAATGAAACTAAAATGAAAAGGATCCGCATTGGTCCTCAAATTAAAAGTACCACAGTGGATATCGAGATCAAACAATCAGGGATAATGAGTATCCAATCCAACAAAAAAGTTCTAAGCCTAGTCTAAGTCAAAAATTTTATTGATTTACTAGTTATCAAATAAAATATTAAAGTAAACAATGAATCAAATCAATCAATCTTAGTCCATGAGAATGTACAAAATACCATTTAAATAATCACGAAACCTCTACAGATTTAATAGATATGCCAATACAAAGAATTTTAGTTTGAGTCGATATAGTTTATCTAAACAGGCGCGTACTCAGGGGGGGGGAGGAAGTAGTCCTCTGGCCCCCCCCCTCCCCCTCGGATTAATGGGCAAAGGTTAAATTCAAGTGTAGTTGGTTAAAAATGAGCTTGCCCTCATCTTCAGAGGTGTTTTCCCACAAAAAAAATTAGTTAGAAATTTTCTTTGCGCTTAGAACCATTTTTTTTGAATTTTACCTTAGTATTTCCTATTTATCTAAAATTGTAGTACTCTAAAAACTTGTCCAGAACTGTATCAATCCAGGTACAACCCATCAGCTATAAATGTCAACCAGGACACAAACTCTTTAGTGAACAATGTCAAACCAATGGACATGATCTTATTGGCTCTGAATGTCACACAGGGACACAAGCGTAGCTATCAAACAAGCTCTTAAAGGGAGTGACCGGCTATGTAAGATAGGTGAACTGAGTATGCAGTGTTGTGGAAAGCTTCTTTCGGATTCATTTGAGACATATTAAACTTTTTAAAGATCTGTAAATTCTTAGTTTAAGCGCAAATTCGACGTTCAAAAGTCCAACTTTGGGTGTGGATACGTTTTCAGAATTAGTTTTTTTTAACTATTAAATAACGACAACGACAAATAAAGTAAAAATTATACAGTAGTCTAATTAGATGGTTAGGAACATATTTCTCAAAAGAAATTTGTCAATAAATCAACGCTCAAATCGATTATTTCGTTTTCATTATTATATTGAATTTCTAATTTTCTTTGAATTTATATGGAGATTTCTTCAAATTCTTCAAATGTCGTCTTTTCAATAATAATTCTAGAAAATCTGCGAAAATTTTTGTGAATAATGAGGAACCAGAATAATGAGATAATAGAAAGTAATAATTGAACAAGATTACTTATTTTTGATGAAAAGATTAATTTTTACTTTCTCAATATGATTCTATACATGACTTCTTTACATTTTATGTCGACGTTATTTAATGATTTAAAAAAAACTAATTCTGAAAACGTATCCACCCCCAAAGTGAACATCGAATTTGCTCTCAAACTCAGGATTTACAGATCTTTAAAACGTTTAATATGTCTTAAATGAATCCGAAAGAAGCTTTCCACAACACCGCATACTCAGTTCAACTACCTTCATAGCCGGTCACTCCCTTTAAGCGATCTATGCCAAACCAATGAACACAATCTTATCAGCTCTGAATGTCATTACGGACACAAGCGTAGCTATCAAACAAGCTCTTAACAAATCAATGCCAAACCACTGAGAACAATCTCATCGGCTCTGAATGTCACACAGGGACACAAGCGTAGCTATCAAACTTATTTCTTTCTTTGAAAAATTAATAAATAAGCTATTTAAATACTCTCCGAGAAATGCCTCATAATAATAATCATGATCCATGACGTTCATTGAAACTTGTATAGTAATTCACGAAGAAATATAGATTTAGCAAATGAGTTCCAGTTTTCTATCTAATCTCTATCTATGCCTAATTGCCGGCCTGTACCACATGTGTTATTGCTCAGACCCTGGAATTTGGACAATTTGTTCTTCTCATGGATGTCTGAGCAATCAAAATGTTGAATAACCCTGGAATTTCAAGCTCTCATCATAACCTTGTCAAACACAGGCATTCCAGCCAAATAGGGAGGGGATGGGGTGACTATTACGTGGTTATTTAGGAAAATAACTTACTGTATGTATTGTAATTTTCTTTTATTTTTCTAAATCTGAACGCCAACTTTCTCATCCAGTCGACTCCGCCCCTCATCCCGTTCGTCGCCAGATACACCTCTGTCGTCGCAGTGGTCGACCTGAACCCGTCGGTCAGGAAGTTATAACTCGACAGATCCTGACCATTGTCGTCGCTGCTCACGTCGTCGATGTGGACCTGGTCGCACTCCTCCAGGTCGTTGAAGAAGAAGTTTGTGTCCGCAACGTTGAATATTAAATCTTCCATCTTCTGTCCCAGACTGTGCAGATGGGTTCCGTCCTTTAAATACCTAAACAAAGCATTGGTAAGTAAGGGTTATGTATGAAAATACTCAATTTTCAAAGTTAAAAACATAAAAATATCATTCATTTTTGATCATGTAAAGCTTTAAAAATATCGTTGTGAATTGCACATGCCACCATAAAATATTAAATTTGCTTAAAGTTACGACTACTAATCACAAAGTTCATAATAGTTTATAAAATTCATTCCCTCAATCAAGAATTTTACTTTGCAGATTCAACAGTTTTGATAAAATTATATAACCTTTATGCAACGAGTATTTATGAATCCAATTTATAGAATTTAGTTTCGAATTATGTGTTCAGAATTTATTCGTCTTGGAACACTGCAGTTAGAATTGTGTTTAAATTACCAAACACTTGTCATAGATATTTTATCGAACCATTGTCACAGTCATCTTATTTGATGACAATGCTTTGCAGTAGATTTGCTTCATTCATTTCTTCATTAGAAAACTCATCAAAAATTTGAATCAGACTTTTGATAAATCTTTTAAAATTTGATCAAAGGTCAGTAACTGAAAAAACTCTGAGAAATATTGTAGACAAATGCAACAAAGATTTGAATACTATCAAAAAACGTATTGTAAAAAATTGAATGACATTTGATGAACTTATTTCTGCAAAAAAATTACAATAAGATTGTTATCAATGGAATTGACCATGCTGAGCTTGACGATATTATAAATTTTATATGCACGACCTAATTATAGAATGATTTTGTTTCTTGTATTTGTATTTATTTTTGATATATACTCTTACACAATTTTTTGCGTGTTTTAATTTGTACCAATTATTTAAATTGTGTACGTTCACGAAATAAATAAATAAATAAACTATACCGAAACCCGTATTTTATTCTTCACCCTGTGGAATTCCAGTACATGGATTAAAAGATAAGATTTGCAGCATAGACTTGAAATATCAGGTTGTATCTTCAGGGTTAGGGTTTAGATAGATCTCCAGGGTAGAGTTTAGATAGATATATAAGGTAGAGTTTAGATAGATCTCCAGGGTAGAGTTTAGATAGATCTCTAGGGTAGAGTTTAGATAGATATCCAGGGTAGAGTTTAGATAGATATATAAGGTAGAATTTAGATAGATCTCCAAG